AAAACGCAAAATCGACGAATCAAAAAAGGAACGGAATGGAAACTTTATGAAATACGAAGAAAACAGAGTAAATATGAAGAAATGCTTGAACGAAGGCAAAATGAAGAAACGATGATAAAAATTATCATCCAATGTTTTGAAGTGAGTCGTAATCAAATCAGTTTCGTGTGTGGTACCAAATCGTTTTTTTATTGTTCCCAATGGTTCTTTTGGTTCCGATTTTTTTTTCACTTTTCCGTCCACCTGGTGTGCGAGAGGTAGTTTGGTACCATTTTTTCGAACCAAACGATATTGCACCTTTTTCTGCATGTTTCACATTTTGAGCATTGAAATCGAGTCCAAAAGGCACCTTTTATCGAAACCCAAATCAAAATCCGGCGTTCGAATCAAAATGCTGTGATTTATAATAATTGGCGAATGTATCTCTTTTAATATAAAAAGTGAAATATACGTCTAAAAACCCCACCAAAGAACAAATCGTCGTAAAAATGTCATTATTTTTGCATAGAGAGCGAAAAAAAAACCGAGAAAAAAAAATCTTACCTTTCAATAGATTTGCTTTCACAAGACCGACAAAAGTTTTATACCATTGTCATTCAATCTATTCTGAATGCGATGTAAATAATCCCAAAGCAACAAAAAAAAATCAGTGTTCTTATGGTTTCGATTTCAAAATATCCGCCGAAGAAGATCGGATAAATGTTATTTGGTTTCACCGATCCACCACAGTAAATGCATTCAATGTGGCTATTGCAATAAGTTCATTGCACGCAACAAAACAATGTTAAAACAATGGATATATATTTTGTGCAATAAAAAAATAAACTATATGGTCAAACGCGGCACGATAGCAGACACCAAAAGAGATTGTTATTTGCGCACAAAATGTAAGTAATTTTCCAATTGTCTTCACTCTACACGCACGTCTCAGGTAGCTTTCAAACCTAAAAATTCACTACTTTGGTTTTTAAAAAAAGCACACACTCGCGCGCACTCACAGACACCAATTCCTAGGTTCTAAATGCAGATATATAAATAAATTGTGTGTTTGGACGCTTGCACAGCTTCATTCATTATTCATTGAATTCGGTCGCGGTTTGCAAGTAAAACGAATTGCAAAAACAGCTTCCAAGAAATGCGTGCAAATGCAGTGCAATAAAATGAAATAAACAACAGGCACACAGCGTGCACATAAACACACACAGTTCAGCGCATAGAATTGCTTCTAGCCAATTCAATGTGGCACATCCCGGGAGAATTAACACAATCACTCTCTCGCAGACGATGGGCTTCGACAGTTTCCAATGCAAAACACACTAAACTTTTAGCAAGCAAAAACGAAGTACAAAAATGCCCATAAATTCACTATGCATATGAACACGGTTCGCTTCTTGGAAATTGTCAATTCTTTCGTTGTTTACGCGCGATCACTAATTTTTTTTGTTTTGTTTCGTTTTTTTTTGTCGGGATTTTCTTTCGATCGGCTTACGCCATAAGTACATATTAATCTTCGTTTTGATTTCTCACTCTCTCATGTTTTTGAATTTGATGCTTGTTATTCACATCGCGAAATTTTTTCCAATGAATTTCGTACTAATCAAAAAATTTCTCTTTGTGCCACACAATCAATAATAATAGGAAAAAAAAACTCGCGCTCGCACACACAAGTGTTATAAAACCAAACTTATAAATTCATCAAAATTCGACAGTTTTTTTCTTCAGTCGTGGCTTGCACAAAATTTGCATAAATGCTAACTAGTCTAATGTCATTTCAACTAACGGCCACTTAAACCGTTTTTTTTTTCTTCTCAATTTGAATAAATTTAATCACATAAATCTTGATAACAGCTGGACAAAATACAATTCACTTCATAAAAAAAGACAGAGCGGGTCTTATCAGATCAACGAACCGAATTTTGCTGCGGACAAAAAAAAATACCAATTGCGATTGAAGAAAGTATTGAAATACGGTGTGATGCGCATGCGACTCAAAAAGCAACTGAAGCAATTGTTTACAAATTGCAATGTTGGTGCGCGAAAACGATCGTCAACGCAAAACCACACGGCGAACAGGTATTGTTGAGTCTTTCTTTTGCATTCGATTCGCTTGGTTTGGATGGGCGACGCACGGTGGCTTATGCTCGATCATTTCCCCGCCGTTAAGGCGCAACTATGCTCGAGTTATGCTGTCGCGCGATGAACGAACTGCTTTGATTCGTTCTTATGCGCTCTCTTTCTCTCTCTCTCTCTCTCTGCTTAAATCTACCTCGATGTATAGAGCTACTTGATCTTTTTCTGTGTTTCGGTCTTCGAAACACGAGAGATGTTTCGATCTCTTTGTTTTTTTTACTTCTCCTGAGCACTGTTTCGCTCGCGATACACTTGCTTCATAACAGGTAGTATTGCGAAGGGGAAATAATTCGAAAAAAGCAGTGAAAGATCATATATAAAATTTGTGTGAGCCCTGACCATTTCCCCGACTGTACTGCGTTGCCGTGTCACATTTACATTTTGTTGTTGTTAGAAAGTCGTGCGCGCACTCATGCACTCTGTTCGTTGCTTTTTTATCAGTTTTATGGATGTTTCCACACGCTCGTTCAACTAAAAGTCATAAATATCGTTTGGTGCGGTTCAAACGATGCATTTCATTCATACGGTGCTGCCATTGGCATTTGGCCATTGATCCAACTGTATAAGCGCAACGCAAACGATAGTCGTCAAAAAAAACGCGTAACAAACACTACAATAAGAATTCTGTTCTTTTTTTTTCGTTAAGTTCTCTTTCTATCTCAAAACGGTATTCAATGGTGTTTCGTGCAAGAACTTGAATCTTGCCATAAAATCGGTTTCAATGATTAATCAAATCTGCGTTGTTTTTTCTTTATGACGATGTGCATCTTCTTTACATATCACAACAATAATGCTGTGTGTGTGTGTGCATCTTTTACGGGATTTGAAAATACTCAGAGTCCATTCATTTAATTCTCACGCTCGTGAGCCCATATCGACACTGTTCTGGTCATGTCTATGGCCTGCAGTCCAGCCGTACTTTTTTCCTTCTTCTTTAGTTTTGCCTTCGGGCCATTCATATATTCTCTCAAGTTTTATTTAATTTCTGGTTGTTGATTCATTCAGCAAACGCATAAGTGCATTCACTCGCATGTTTACCTTTTCGATTTCTGGTTTTGCTTTTCGACGCAGAAAAAAAAATATGTTCAATTTAAAATCGATTCCTTTTATGAACATTTCATTCGCACCTTACGCTTTACAATACGGTCTTTTTGCTGAAACAACCAGTGGTGCTGTTGTGTTATAGGAAAGACTCTTTTCTATTTGCGAGGTTTTGACTCTTTTCTATTTGTGTTTTGGAAAATAAGTGATCAAAGAGAGAGCGAGAAAGAGAGAAGACCTTCGAAATAGAGAGAGAAAAAGAGGGAGATAGTGAGAAGGACCCTAAAGTAGAGAAAGAGTGATCGAAAGAAAGAAAGATGGGGGAAGAGAGAATAGAAACTCGAGACATTTAATATCATTTCCACTGTGAATCACCGTGTGACAGAGTGTCCATCAATTCAATATTTCGATCAAACTCATTATTTATGCAAAATATTAAATCGCACTTTAATTTACGCCATTCAAACTCATAAATTATAAGCTGCTTTATTCAGACGTATAAGTTTTTATGTTGATTTTCCAATAAATAAAAAAATTATAGGCTTGTACTCAAAAAGATCGACACCATCCATCTAACCCGTTTTATTATTCATTGAACTTCCAATATGTATAACCATTTATTGGTGCGATTATGTTTTTTCGCTCTCTCATTCCGTTTTATGAGCGTTTTGTATCGCTCGCAGCCTATGCGATCGTTTTGGCTTATAGGGCCGAACAACAAAATTACCGTAAAGAGATGAATGAACCCCAGTCAAAGATTTTCAATTCAATCAAATTGAATATTTCTCCGACACGGCAAGGAAGTGTGAAACAATAAACGTGATACATTTATTCTTTACGTTTCAATATTGATACAAACAAACCACATGAGATGTATCTACTTAATTGGATGTGTTGTTCAACAGCAACTTTTTCCCGCAGTTTCTCGTGGTGGGCCGAATTGAGTCGAAAGACAATGCAAAACATCGATCGGACAATTTAAAAATAGGCAATTTAAAAATGAAAAGCACTTTTCTCCGTGCGACAAACTCTCTTCGAAAGTTAATGACAATCTCGATGTTTTTTTATTCCACAGATGAAATTACGCACACATTGTGGTCGGGGTCTTTGGTGTTTGTAAAAAAAATTACGGTGTTTGCCGAAAACATGAGTTTGGTACCCATTTGGTGACTTTACCGGTGTTTGACCATTCAACTTGCATATTCAATGAACACCTACAGTTTTTATCCAATTCTTGAGCTTCAAAAATTGCGTATTTCATGTTGAAACAAAAATCGCAAAAAGGTTAACGTCCGACATATGTCATTATTATGCGTGGATTGAACTTCAATTTTGTTCGTGTTTATTCAATCAATTTGCATAGCGCTTTGTTTGGCCGAACCAATAAAAGACAAAATATTTGCTTTTCACATTGATATTCACGCCTAATCCAATCTATATTCATCGATTGGTGATGTATTCATTTAGGTAATTTTGAAAGAAGATTGAACTTTCATCAAAAGAGATCAAATTCGATACATTTCACCATTTTTTACGAAATTTATAATTCAAACGCTTCGTGGAAAAGTCACAAAAGATAAGCCATTTCAATGTAAATAACGAAGAAGCCGATGATATTTGCAGACAATGTGTCTTCGCTATTGACCACTTCTAACACGTTTTGAAATCGTTCGATCTGGATTTTGACTTCATTCAACCGACCATCAGCCTTTTGAGATTTTGTGTAAATAAACATAAAATGGCTCTTAATTAGCTGAGAAAAGGTATGTTGATACCAAAAAAAACACGACAATTGTTGTCATTGTCGGCTGAAAATCAAGTTCTCTTACCTTTGACATCGTGGTTTTCTCATGTTTACGAAGTTGTGGTTGCTTGCACGCCTTCTGTAAAATGGTGATGGTTTGTTTCTTACTTTTAATTTCCTCCAACTGAAATGGCAAAAACAAAACACATACATTATTCCTCTGTCAGACGATTTTCTTTTTAATGGCAATTCTTGATGAGATTTTTTCTGTTTTGCTACAAGAAAAATGACTTTTTAAATTTCACTTTATGCTTAAAAGATACAATTTATCGTTTGTGATAAAAAAAAACAACAACAATGCGATTCTCATATCAATTTCATGTCGCTGAAGTCGATTTTCTCACAAAACAATACAATACGGTTGTTGATTTGAACAAAATAGATCGACGAATCTCACAGCATTCGATGCAAATCACGGTGTTTGTTTGTTGCGGTGATATAGTCGCTTGTTTATTGTAAATGTTGAGAGTCAGAGGTTGCACGAGATCGAATAGAAAGTGTATGCATCTGATAAAGAAGACAACACAGAGACACTCGTAATTAAATCATTTTACTAGCCATTTAATTGGCGTAGAAACATAGGCCGTTTTGTCTTGTGTCGAACTCACTTTCATTCGAGTTCAAAATGATTTACAATTATTGCGACAATGATGAGATCGCTATTTTAATTCCATTTTTATTTTTAAATCCACAACGAGTTTTAATAACAAGCAACATCTTTTAATAATCAACAAACACAATTACAATACCTTTACAAATTTGATTCATTAACATTTCATGCAGAGATGATGATGGAATGAGATAATATCAGAGGATGTGCCGATTTGTTTTTTCTTCTTCATTTCGTTCAACCATTTTAATTGTGAACGATTTTAATTTGGTGCACACTTGAATAGGCTGAATTGGATGATGATTGGGAACTCTTTTTCTTGATGAATGAACGCACATTAAAATGATAAATTTTCACTTGAATTCGAAACGAAGGTTTGAAGAACGAGACCTTTGTTCAAGGTAGCACATTTCCATCGTTGATTTGGAGATCAATTCAAACAACGAATCGAAATAATTGATCAAAGATTGGAAACGGTTGATATGATAGGTTTGAATTATTTGAGCAGAAAATTTGTTGTATGGGAACAATTCGACTGAATGTCATTCATTGATTTGTTCGATTTTTTTTTTTTTTTGCATTTTCTGTTTAATAAAACGATTTTAGTCATTTGACTCTTGATCGAAAACTGAGTGAAGTTGTATTGCTGCTGCTTCGTGTAATTGCAGGCACAATCGAATTGTGTCGCTAAGAACGAGGAGCGATTTTGAGAATTTTACATCATGCATTGGTACGGTTGTGAGCCTGGATAACACTTCCTTAAATCGTCTGAACAAAACCACGTGACAGTTGAGTATTCTTTTGATTTACTAGAGGTTTTATGGGTTAATGGAACATCTTTACTTGCCGACCGTGTCCATGTATGGTGTTGACACCAAAGATTTTAGAGGGACACAATGGCAAAAATTCAAAGGGAGTGCTGGGGAAAATCCAAAATGGATGCCGGCAAAAGTTCATTGCATCAAGCGTAGAAAAATGTTAAACAGGTTTCATTCGGATCGAAATTGATTACGGTAGGAGGACGAATATCTGTAAAACCTATTTGCAAATCGAAAGAATCTCGTCAAATTTGCTCCTAAAGTACAGTTCTCAGATTTTTCTAAGGAGAGTAATTGGGACCCTCGAGAGCTGGGACACCTATGCCCTTGTTTTCACTCATGGACCCGCTCCTGATATATCTTGAAGACGTACAAGAACGAGAGTAGGAGTTGATGAACTTTAAGTCAAAACTGAAATAACTTCCCCACACTAGGTGTGTGGAAAAGTACAATCAAAATGAATAAAAATGCATTCTCAGCGACACAATTACTGCGCAAAGCTCATTCCGTCGGAATTAAATTTGCTTATGCATCTGACGAGAAGGATAAAACGATGACGAAAAAAATTGAAAATAAACAAAATAAATACACAATAAAAAATCTCTCTGTAGGTAAAATCGAATTGATTCGATGGATTTCTTGTAAAATAATTTAATCAGAAAAATTTATTATTAGTTTACGATTCACATCAGTCATCGACCGATAAAACGCGATTATTTTTTATAATAAGAATTCTGTATTGAATTTAAAAAAGCAAAAAAAATATCTTAATTTTTCATGCGATAAATCAGAACCAACGATCGATTCTTCGCTTTTCAAGTGACTTGTGATTTCATTTGATGAAATTGCGCAAAACCAAAACAAGAAAAAAAAATCGAAGTTCATTTGTGCACGCAATTCCAAGTATCCATGCTGTTTATCTCGCTTTTGTTGTGTGCCCGTATAAATCGAAGTTGCGTTTAAATCTCTATTTCAAAAGTATAAATTGAAAGGTAGCTTACGGCATTTAAAATCACAGCAATCATTTTTGATTGCGTGTGTATTTCTATGCCATTGCATATCAAGTCAATTCTAACCGTTGAAATTCGTTATCATTCCGGACGTCTCATTTTGTACATTCGGTGTATTCCCACTTGCGTTTTTATTTGTGGCTAATGAACCGTGCAGAAATATATATAAAGAAAGCTTCGTCGACATTGTAAACAACATGACTCACCGATGCGGTATTTAAAGTGAATAGGAACCAAAGAACAGAAAAAAAAACACCGTCATCAACCTGGAGAGGTCGGAAGAGTGTCGTTCTTTATTTAACCGTGCACCGAAAATCATGTTTTCGGATTCTATGTACGAAAACAAAATGTGCCTTGCGGGTGCGATGCTGCTTTAAAACCGTGAACCTAAAATTGCAATTGTACCGCCCACTCGTGCATCGTGCTCTTCATTCATCTCCCTTTTCAATCCATTTGGATCGACGCTTTTTTTTGCCTTTGAGTGTCCGTAATTTGCGTTAAACGAAGCAAATCCCGTTCACGATATAATTTCATTTTTGCAAACATTTTTTTGGTGCTGCAAAAACGATACGACGATTATATGAATCCTCTCTCTCTCCCTATCATTGATTCACTTGTTGTTCATTCATTATGAATCTGTGTGCAATGCCACGTATGAGTGCCCCGCGGCCAAAATACAGTTCAAACGTTGTAATTGGAGAGATGAAATTTTTGACCGCCGGCCACTGAAAAAACAACGCACATTTTATCAACATTATGCGGACCGAACACGATTAACAACAAAAACAAAGAGGCTAGCCCAAAACTTTCCCACGGTTTATCGTCAATGAACAACAAAGACGACACACAATTATAATTTTTTTACCCAAAATCGCTCTGAATTACTCGAACATGAACCGAAATCTTGGTCACGTATCAAAGTGTGGATTTCATTTTACTGAATTGGCAAATGCAGACGAGATTTATTTGGAACATGCAATATTCGAACGCACAAATCGACAATTAAATTCGAAAATATTGACCAAAACGATGGAATCAACTGGTGCTACCGCAAGAACAATTTGTTGTAAAGAGAGATGGATGTCAGTCATTATGTGCTTTTTTTAAAGTGCGGACTTCATTTGAATGCAATACATTCGAATTTTTTGGGAAAAATGTTTAAACGCAGTTTTGAGGGGAAGATTTAGAGCTTGGCGAGCGAAAAAGGTCTTCAACTTCGGACTGATAAATAAAGTGAAATAAATGCCCATTCTTTTAAGCCAAAGTCAAGAAATCATCTTTTTTTTAAATAAAATTGGGTAAAAGTATGCGTAAAGAAGTCTGTAGAGTGGCAATTTTCCGGAACTTTAGCAAAAATTGGTTAAATCGGTTGCAATTTAAAAGTTTTACAATGTTCGTTAAAAGCGCATTTAATGCGAAGCCCTTGGCAATGCTGAGCGATGCACTGCAAAACGCGTACACACCAAAATTGACGTCTGTCCGATTTCATGCGAACGAAAATGTTTTGTTCTTTCAGTAAATGCCTGTATTCGATTGCAAAGTAATGTATTTGTGACGATATAGTCGAGTGTATCCACATGGGTCTTTCGATAAAAAGATGTTTTGTTAGTCATGGGTGTTGTTGTATAAACTGCGTGTCGCCCGGTGTGTTCAGTCGAATGCATCCGATTTTAATTAAATTCTCAATATATAAACGCACTGAATCGAAATGCCATTGGATCGCATGTTGAGAGAGATGTTTTTTTGACAAAAAGGTATATGTGTATAGTTACAAATGGGTGATAGTATTTGAAAAATGTCAATGAAATCATTGTCATTGTATGTAACATATTTTGGCACTTTTTGATTCGAAATTGGGCTGTTAAAATCCATTCATGAATTGGTCGTACCGCATATCAAGCTACTCCATATGCAGTGGAGAAACCGCATGGTCTTGTCCATTGATATGGCTTAAAACATTCGCACAACAAAACGGTAAAGTGTTTTGTCGGAATTCGATTAGAGAGTTTGGTCAAGCACAAATTTCACCTAAAATTCGTTTAAAGATTAATTGAAATGAATTCAAACACACCAGACCAACGCACACTGTGAGTCACCCACCGAGAAAATGTAATTGTTTTACACTAGAAATACTTACCAATCGATTTATCTCCACTTTAGACGCCTTCTCAGATTGGCTTAATCGCAATTCGTACTCATCTTTCAACTGGCGCATATCAGAGACTTTCCGGCGGTCAGCTTTTGATGTTTTCTATTTGTGTGAATAGAACAAGTGAAGAGAAGTTTTCTTTTATTGAAATCATTACACAATGGAATTGTTGGCGCTGCTTTTTAATGACAAACATTCACATTTTAAATACACAATTTGCGGTTTTATGACAACACTTCAGGCCGAACATTATCGGTTAATTTTATTATTATTTCATTTCAATCAATATTTCAGCATTTTATGCAATCCGTTTTTTTTTGCGCCCATTCAACAACAACACAGTAATTACAATCAGAATGCCCACATCATTTCGCATTGGGAATAAAACACACGAGGATGTAATAAAAATAAACCAATTCAGAATTCAAATACCAACCGGAATGGAATTTCAACTTTTATTTTTATTTCAATTGTGTGTATTTAAAACATAAAAAAATTTAACAGCGTGTGAAAATTGTTTTGAGTCATTTTACTTGGAATTGGCGTTGAATGGTTTGAAATTGATACTGATTATATCATCAATTTTAAAACGGATTTTATTGTGATGAATGGAGTTGAATTTTTTTATTAATAATCTACGATTCTTATCTTGAAATAAGAGTGTAATTCAGCGCATTTGAAAGAAAGGATTTTGGATTTTGCCATAATTTTGACCAATTAGAACCGACTGTTCATCTAAAGAAGCCTCTCGTACGCTCTCAAACAATATCAAATGGGGAGCATAAGAGAGCGGACTTCGATGTCTCAGAGGGGGCATATGGTGTATATCATGGACAGGGCGAATTGACCAGCGAAGAAAGATTTGAAAAGAAGCGATAAGATTTCTGCCTAAAATGATGAAAAAATAAAATTCACGTATAGTTGGCGCTACATTCTATGTGATAAGCGTATACTTTCCACTTAGTCCGTTGCAACGGAAAACAAGTTTGCATAGAATGCAGCGCCAAAATTTGTGAATATTATTTTTTATCGTTTTAGGCAATAAATCTATGGTTTTCTTATGGCTTCTTTGCAGAATCATTTTCGTTTTAGTTTTGCAGACCAAATCGAGTAGTACAGAAGGAGAAAAATATTTGAATGGGAAACGTTTCCTTCCGTCCATAATTTTGCTGTTACAGTGAATTTTTAATTATATGCTCTGATATGCACAAATTTAATGCACACAAAGCTACCTGAAATCGCAGTCAACTACTAAACGCCCAGCACTGAATACCTCTCTGATTAAAAGCAAAAAAATGTATCTCACCTGGACTTGTTCTGCCAGATTCTTATTTGTCTCTTTGAGTGTCTCAATTTCTTTGAGAAGTCGGTCGATTCTTGTCGATTGCTCCAAAAGCTGACTATTTTGAGACATTGGCACCGGAGTCGATGCGCCCGTTCGATCGACACATCGTTGATATCGCTTCGAATTGGTGCCGGCTTGTTTTTCGCCACGCATTTTCCATGATTGAATTTTCTCCTTACGAAAATTGGCATCATTTTGAGCGCTGTAAAAAGAAAAATTATGATAAAAGTACGAAGTAAAATAGGCTGCATTTTTCCATCCACAAAAATGTAGAAAAAAGAATTAGTGAGTGTAAAAGATTCCCTTACCGTAAAATTCGTACGGCGTTTTGTTCATTGGCCAGCGCCGTTCGAAGTGTGTTGATTTCCATGCGTAGTTGATCGGCCTGTGCATTTAGCTTCTGAACGGTGTTCGTATGAATGTTTTCATATTTCAAGCGTAATTTATTGGTTTCGGTGTGGTTGCATTTTGCATCTTTTGTTGGTTTGGCGGTGGTCGGTGGTGTTTGTTCTAAGTCCACATCGTCTTTGGTTGGATTTGAAATATTGCCATTGAGATTTGGTGGAATTTCAATTTTTTGCCGTTTATTTTCATGTTGAACAATTGCATAGTTAATGTCAATTGCTTCGTTTTCAATGCCATCGATTGATGTGGATTTCTTGCGCTTGGTTTTCTTTTTTAATTCGGTATTTTCTTCAATGTGCTCCGTTGAATTCGATTCGCTTTCGATTTGGCGAACCGACAATTCATCGGCTTGAACGTTTTGCTCTGGTTCTGAGCTTATCATTTTTGCAATATTTTTCGGTCTCACAATTGCTTTTACGTTTGTTTTTTCGTTCGTGAGTTCGTCTGCTTTAAAATAAGCTTCAAACGTGAGTAGAAAGCTTGATAGCAGTTGATAAGTTTGGTAAACGTTGACAGGTTTCGGACAGCAATACAAACGTCGTTATGGTGAATTTCACCGTTTGAATTTAGTCTGCAAAGAAAAAACATAGATAGGGATTTAGAGATATTTTTGCTGTTATTGTTCGGTTTGATTCACAATTGTATAAAAGTGTTTTTTTAAAAGGTCAGAGGGTAGAGCTCAAACTTTCTAATAGCAAAGAATGAATTCCCATAAAATAAAGACTTGACAATGAGTTTTGGTAATATGATTTTTATTCAAATTAAACGTATAATATGTATCGGCAGAATTATTTCGCCACTTTTGAAGAACCGATTCATTGCAAAAAATTTAGTACTGAAGCGATTAAATATCGATGTTTCGAGCAATAAGTTTGTGATATTCTTCCGGAATGTCTGCAATATACGATTGAATATCCAAATCATTGATTCCTCTTAAATGGAATAGTTCTGTGGCCAATTCGGCTACTTTTCGTCGAATGACTTTTCCAGATGGAGTTTTCGGTAACGAATCAACAAAGTAGACTCCACCACGAAGCCACATTCGTTTTGGAAAGTGATCTAAATTAAAATTTAAATGAATTGCATTGAATTTCGAAGAATATTTTGAATATTTTGAACAAAATCTTACTTGCAACTAATTCAAAGAAATCTCGTTCGATTAAAGACGAGTTTGCACTCCGTACGATAACAGCGGCTGGCAATTTTTCATCAACACCAGTCGTAATGCCAACAATGCAAACTTCTTGAACGTCTGGCAATGTGATAAGATAGCTCTCCATTTCGAAGGGTGAAAAAGAAGCAATAAAGTAAAATATCCTGAAAATATCTTTTTTTCGATCGGTAATATGCAATGCTCCATTTTCATCGAAATGGCCAATGTCTCCCGTTAAAAAGAAGCCTTCATTGTCAAAAGCCGCTGCAGTGGCCTTTGGATCATTCAAATATTCAATGAACTTATACTTTGTCTTAGTGCATATTTCACCATCGACATTGGCACCACATCGATTTCCATGGTCATCGACTATTTTCATGGTCATACCATTATACAACACTCCAGCACTATATTTGCCATTTTTATTCAGAACCCATAGAAAATTCGTTCCTATTTCAGTCAAACTATAACCTGCTATTATCTCAGCATTTGGATAGTAACGATATGTTTCAATAACTATGCCTGAAGATGCTTTACCACCAATAACTAGGATCTCTTGTACACTTGAAAGATCAGTCGTGCGAATTAAATCATTTTTTAAACATGCAATCATTTGAGTTGGAGCGGTTAATAAAAATGTCACATTGTGTTTTTCAATTATTTCGAATTGAAGCGCTGCCGAAAAACAATATTTAGTTATAATCCGTGTCGATCCTTTCATACTGGATGACATTACATTCAATAACCAAGACCCCCAATATATCGCAGAAAAACTCAAACATATGTCATCTTTATATAGACCTCCGATATCAGGTAAGTTAATCATGGCATATGGCATTGAAATGCCTATATTTAGAGTAAAAGACATAAATTTTGAGAAACCAAATATTAAACTTCTATAAAACACAAATTAAGTATTAAAGTAATACATTTTGATGGGCCAGTTGTGCCTGAGGATGAGAGTATCGCTGCGATATCATTTAACATATCGACGTGAACGGGACTAAAAGTATAAATCGATTATTTGAAGCATAAAATACGAAGGCTTCCAACTTACACAAATTCATGTTCATTTCCAGTTTGAATGAGTAGACTTTCAACTGGTTCAGAGGTGGAAATTTGCCCATCAAATGTAAAAATCGGCACCTTTAATTGCGATTCGTTCAATGCTTCGCAGATTAAATTGTAAGAATCAACGTCACAAAATATGGCTTTTGTGTTGGTTTTTTTGAATTTTTGAGCAATTTCCTCTTTCGAGAGAGACGAATGCAATGGATTGATTGGACACCCCATACTGGACGACGCAAACACAATCGGACACAAATTATCCGAATTCACCGCCAGAAAAGTAAACAAATCTTTATATTGAAATCCTTTTTTCTGCAAATTTTGCGCTGCGCGAATGGCTTTCAATCTCAATTCATCGTAAGTCATTCTAACTCCGGTATCATGATTGATCTTGAAGAAGAATGAACATTTAGAAAAAATGTGTTATGAATTCTTATTAATTCAATTACCTGAGCCACTTTTGAGCCATGTTTGGACAATGTGTCTAATAAAAACGTACCAAAACACAAATTTGGATCCAAATACTTTGGTTCTTCAGTGGACGACCACAATTTACTTTCTTCCTCAAATTCAACACCCAACATTTTGCTGTCGAGTGTTTTTTATAACTGCTGCTATTTCCAAGTGTTTTCACTTTTTTATTTATTGTCAATTTGACTTTTCAAAAGAGATGGAACAATGAAACATTTGTGGAGTTAAAATCTCCAGGGGGTAAACGCAAGATTTGTGACTGGAAAAGATTTGCTTATGAAAATATGAATAAAGATTGATAAAAATTGCTCATGCTCATTGATTGGTGAAGATCGGTAAAATTAAACATGATTGAAATTCATTGAGAGTGATGTGACTAGCAAAGATTGGTGAAAATGGGCCAAATTTAAAATGATTCGTGGTCGTCATGAGAGTGTCTACCCCCAGTAAAATCTTATAAGGTTGTTATTATAATTATATGTAATATAAAATTTTACTTTTTTATGTTCGTATTTTGATGACTTGAAATGTTTAAATGTGATTTAAATGCGCAATTATAATTTTTTTTAATCCTCGAAATTATCGCTGTGATCAGTGATTACGCACGAATCGAAATGTTTAAAGCACAACAATTCCGTTGCAATGAGTGCAATTTTTATAACAATTTGTTCGAGACTTGTATGATGCATTTCACATTGAAATGCCGTCTGAAAAGAGGTTTGCACCCAAACCAAAAATAATTTTTATTTAACCCATTAAAAAATCTACCTTTTCAAACATTGTTTACACTGTATATTGGATTTCATACATAATTTCTACATAATTATGGGATATATAGTATTACACATAATGTATTGCGCTGATTATTTAATTGAAATGGAACGAAATATACATCTAAATGGGACATTTCGATCTTGTCACATGAATGCAGTGAGGGCACTTGGAAATAATTTCTTTATTAAAAACAAATACGATTAATAATTGGAACGTTAGAGCAAAATCAGGAATAAATTTCATTTTGAAGCACTCCAAATAAAAAGACTTTCTATTAGTCGCTATTTCGAGCAATAAGTTTGTGATATTCTTCCGGAATGTCTGCAATATACGATTGAATATCCGGATCATTGATTCCTCTTTTATGGAATATTTCCGTGGCTAATTCGGCTACTTTTCGTCGAATGATTTTTCCAGATGGAGTTTTTGGTAACGAATCAACAAAGTAGACTCCACCACGAAGCCACTCCCGTTTTGGAAAGTGATCTAAATGAAAAATGAAATGGTGAATAACATATGTTTTTCATCTATTGTTTTCTTTTAGTTTCAATATCTTACGTGCAACCAATTCATAACATTTTCGTTCGTTTAAGGATGAATTTGAATTTCGTACAATAACAGCAGCTGGCAACTTTTCATCAGCACCAGTCGTGATACCAAAAATGCAAACTTCTTGAATGTCTGCTATTTTGATAAGATAACTCTCAATTTCAGATGTTGAAAAGGGAGCTCGAAAATAAAATATCCTGAAAATGTCTTTTTTTCGATCGGTAATATGCAATGTTTCGTTTTCATCGAAATGGCCAATGTCTCCAGTCAAAAAGAAGCCTTCACTGTCAAAAGCGGCTGCAGTTGCCTTTGAATCATTCAAATATTCAATGAACTTATATTTCGTCTTAGTGCATATTTCACCATCAACATTAGCACCGCATCGATTTCCATTATCATCGACTATTTTCATGGTCACACCATTATACAACACTCCAGCATTGTGATTTCCATTTTTATCAAGAACGAACTCAAATACCCCACCGACCTCAGTCAAACCATATGGTGATGTGATCGCAGCATTTGGATAGTAATGATATGTTTCGGTAATTATGCCCGAAGATGCTTTACCACCAATAGCTCGTATCTGTTGTACACTCGAAAGATCACTCTTGCGAATTAATTCACTTTTTAAACATGCCACCATATTACATGGAATAGTCCATAAAAGAGTTACTTTGTGTTTTTCAATTATTTCGAATTGAAGCGCTGCTGAAAAACTATATCGAGTTATGATCCTTGTCGATCCTTTCATAGTGCATGTCAACACATAATACATCCACGTCGTCCAATATATTGAAGAAAAACATAAACATATGTCATCTTTCGGTGGAATAGTGAAATAAAACATGGAATAGGGTATTACGACACCTATAATATAGTGAAAAACATACATTTAGATCGACAAAAAGACACTATTAAAGTGCACTCATTAAGGTCATACACTTTGATGGGCCAGTTGTGCCCGATGACGAGATGAATCCTGCGATATCACTCGGTATTTCAACACGAACGGGACTAAAAATTAAATTCAATATTTCAATTAGAAAATAACAGTCGTAACTATGAAAGGGGCGTCTAACACAACGTTTGTGTTAACTTACACAAATTCATGTTCATTTCCAGTTTGAATGAGTAGACTTTCAACTGGTTCAGAGGTGGAAATTTGCCCATCAAACGTAAAAATCGGCACATTCAATTGCGATTCGTTCAATGCTTCACAGAATAAATTGTAAGAATCAACGTCACAAAATATGGATTTGGTGTTAGTTTTCTTGAGTTTTTGAGCAATTTCCTCTTTCGAAAGAGACGAATGCAATGGATTGATTGTGCAACCCATACAGAACGACGCAAACACAATCGGACACAAATCATCCGAATTCACAGCCAAAAAAGCAAACACATCTTTGTATTGAAATCCTTTTTTCTGCAAATTTTGCGCTGCGCGAATGGTTTTCAATCTTAATTCATCGTAAGTCATTTTAACTCCGGTATCATGATTGATCTTGAAGAAAAATTCGAATATTACAAAAATCTTTTACGAGTTCTTATTAATTCAACTACCTGAGCCACTTTTGAGCCATGTTTGGACAATGTGTCTAATAAAAACGTTCCAAAACACAAATTTGGATCCAAATATTTAGGCTCTTCAGTGGACGACCACAATTTACTTTCTTCGTCAAACTTAACACCGATCATTTTACTTGAAAACATTTTTCGAAACTGTGCAGTCATGCCATAGTATTTATGATTTTATAGCGATATCTTTAAATGATTTGACAGGTTATTCAAAATACAAATTGAAAATTGATAAGAAAATACACTAGGACAGGAATTCATTGATCGCAAGCCCGCATTTCTTTTGTGTATCTCGATTGACTTCATTTTTTTATCTCTTATACAAATGCATTGATATAGTAATTATGACTCAATGCAAATCCCTCAAATTAATAGTAAATTGCCTGCACTCATTTGCAAGATTATACTGCGTGGCCTCATTTCCTTTATGTATTTATTGCAGTTTTAACTGAATTGCAGAATGAATACCGTTGACAGATAATAATTTTTCGGACCCACTCACACTCTTTATCAAAAAAATATTACAAGTTAGAAGTGTTTGTTTTCAAAAATCGTATATTGCCCAAAATTACGAGCTGTTGTTAATCTTTTATTTTATCATTTATTACTTTCAATGCAATTCGGTTCAAAATAGGTATTTATAAATATATGTGATCATTCCCGTTGAGATATGAGTAGGTTGGACAAATCTTTGTACTTATAAAAACTTAAACAGACATTTACCCCGTCGATGGGAATTCTCTATGGTAATTAGTATGGCGACTTTGAAATAGCTTAAAAAAAGTAATTTTCTCTGTAAATTGCCCTTTTAATTAAGTATTTACCCGGTTTTTGCGATTTTGATATACGATATCAATGAAAGAATAGCTTAATTTTTCTAAAACACTTGGAAATAAATGAAAATAATTTCTTTATTAAAAACCAAAAACCAACTTAAGAACTAAAACGATTTATTATTAGAATGTAAGAGCAAAATCAAAAATAAATGTTGTTTTGAAGAACTCCAAGATAAAAGTCTTGCTATTAATCGCTATTTCGCAATCGCTATCTTGCTACTAATTGCAATAAGTTTGTGATATTCTTCCGGAATGTCTGCAATATACGCTTGAATATCAGGATCATTGATTCCTCTTTTATGGAATATTTCCGTGGCTAATTCGGCTACTTTTCGTCGAATGATTTTTCCAGATGGAGTTTTTGGTAACGAATCAACAAAGTAGACTCCACCACGAAGCCACTCCCGTTTTGGAAAGTGATCTAAATAAAAATAAAAATGGTTTAGTCATCTGGTTGCTCATCTGCTGTCTTTCTTTAGTTTGAATATCTTACTTGCAACTAATTCAAAGAAACCTCGTTCGCTTAAAGTTGAATTTGAATTTCGTACAATAACAGCGGCTGGCAATTTTTCATCAGTACCAGTCGTAATGCAAACAATGCAAACTTCTTGAACATCTGGCAATGTGATAAGATAACTCTCCATTTCAGATGGTGCAAAAGGAGCTTCGAAATGAAATATTTTAAAAACATCTTTCTTGCGATCGGTTATGTGTAATGTTCCATTTTCATCGAAGTGGCCAATGTCTCCCGTTAAAAAGAAGCCTTCATTGTCAAAAGCGGCTGCAGTTGCCTTTGTATCATTCAAATATTCAATTAATTTATACTTCGCCTTAGTGCATATTTCACCATCGACATTGGCAACACATCGATTTCCATGATCATCGACTATTTTCATGGTCACACCTTCACACAACACTCCAGCACTATATTTGCCATTTTTATTCAGAACCCATAGAAAATTCCATCCTATTTCAGTTAAACCATAACCTGCTCTTATCTCAGCATTTGGATAGTAACGATATGTTTCAATTACTATACCTGAAGATGCTTTACCACCAAAAACTAGGATCTGTTGTACACTTGAAAGATCAGTCGTGCGAACTAAATCATTTTTTAAACTTGCACTCATATAAGATGGAATGATATATAAAAATGTCACTTTGTGTTTTTCAATTATTTCTAGTTGAAGTGCTGCTGAAAAGCTATATCGAGTTATGATCCGTGTCGATCCTTGCATAATGCATGACAATGCATAATATATCCACTTCGACCAGAATAATGGTTCAAAACTCAGACATATGCCTTCTTTAATTGAGAATATGGACTTTGACAAGTAAATCATGCTATATGGAAATGCAATACCTGTATTTTAAGTGAAAGAAATGATTTTAGAGCGAGAAAAATATCAAAACACGCCCAATGAATTCATACATTTTGATGGACCAGTTGTGCCCGAGGATGAGAATATCGCTGCGATATCATTCAACATATCGCCGTGAACGGAACTAAAAATATAAATCGATTATTTGAAGCATAGAATACGAATGCTTCCAACTTACACAAATTCATGTTCATTTCCAGTTTGAATGAGTAGACTTTCAACTGGTTCTGAGGTAGAAATTTGTCCATCAAATGTGAAAATCGGCACCTTCAATTGCGATTCGTTCAATGCTTCGCAGATTAAATTGTAAGAATCAACGTCACAAAATATGGCTTTTGTGTTGGTTTTTTTGAGATTAAGAGCAATCTCTTTTTTCGAGAGGGTCGAATGCAATGGATTGATTGTGCACCCCATACAGAACGATGCAAACACAATCGGACACAAATCATCCGAATTCACGGCCAAAAAAGCAAACACATCTTTGTATTGAAATCCTTTTTTCTGCAAATTTTGCGCAGCGCGAATGGTTTTCAATCTTAATTCATCGTAAGTCATTCTAACTCCGGTATCATGATTGATCTTGAAGAAAAATGAACATTTAGAACAAATGTGTTATGAATTCTTATTAATTCAGCTACCTGAGCCACTTTTGAGCCATGCTTGGACAATATGTCCAATAAAAATGTCCCATAACACTCATTTGGATCCAAACACTTTGGTTCTTCAGTACACGACCACAATTTACTTTCAGCGTCAAACTTAACACCCACCATTTTGCTGTCGAGTCTTTTTGAAAACTGCTCATCTATTGCCAAGTATCTTCACTTTTTTATAGTTCTATTGTTTTGATCAAAAAGATAAGATAATTAGATCCAATTTATGATAATTTCTGGTTTATTCCATTTGACGTCTTTTTTGCGCGTGTTTTTAATTGCATCTTTTACCGTGCGATCAATTTATATCTGTAACAACTCACTAATCTAGTAATCTAAGTCATTGAATAACAATAGATAAAGATAGAGAATGAAATAAACACTTTCAATGGTAATACTATGCCAAATAAAACCGTGAACAGACATTATTTTTATTATATGCTCGTTATCAAGAAAATAAAGCGCGTGTTGATGTATATTGCCAAAATTATATTATCAGTCTTAGTTGTGGTGGCATTAATTTTTCAAATGTCGCACATAATAAAGCTTAATTCAATCAAACTCATTTTCATGTTGCTTACTACTTCGTTTGCTTTTAAAGTTTCAATTGTGTTGAACTTTGACAGGTTTACGGAGTAAAGTTCTCGGGTTTGAATTTTGTCTGTAAAAAAAAAATTTGCACAAAAACGAAAATTTTGTATGGAAGTTACCCCTAAATTTTATTGAAATTTCTTCAAACTTTTAGAATGTTGGCTTTTTGTAGAAAAAATAACCTGTGCAAAGTTTCACGTCAGTACGATATAATCCCAAGCACTCAATTTGCTCTGTTCACCCGGGCATTCGCACCGTGTGTCAGCTACGAAAACACGAAAGAGAATACGGAGCGACACACGAAGAAAGTAGTGTATGTGCGTATACGATTCAGTTCTTGCGTCTTATTCGTTATTCGTTTTCAGCTCTTTGCATGGCAAGGGCTGCTACGCTACATAACAAAAAGATGAAAAAGGGAAATAAAGAATAAGAAGCAAGGCACGAAGCATATATGCAAAGACACTACAGTCAGCTTGCATATGCTTTACTTATTGCTGTTTTAACTGAATTGCCGAATGAATACCGTTGACAGATAATAATTTGTTTGGATCCACTCACACTCTTTATCAAAAAAATATTACAAGTCAAAAGTGTTTTCTAAAACGATTTATTATTAGAATATAAGCGCAAAATCAAAAATAAATGTTGTTTTGAAGAACTCCAAGTAAAAGGTCTTGCTTTCAATCGCTATTTCGAGCAATAGGTTTGTGATATTCTTCCGGAATGTCTGCAATATATGATTGATTATCAGGATCATTGATTCCTCTTTTATGGAATATTTCCGTGGCCAATTCGGCTACTTTTGGTCGAATGATTTTTCCAGATGGAGTTTTCGGTAACGAATCAACAAAGTAGACTCCACCGCGAAGCCACATCCGTTTTGGAAAGTGATCTACATTAAAATTGAAATGAATTTCACTAATTCAAAGAAATCTCGTTCACTTAAAGATGAATTTGAATTTCGCACGATAACAGCGGCTGGTAACTCTTCATCAATACCAGTCGTAATTCCAACAATGCAAACTTCCTGAATGTCTGGCAATGTGATAAGATAACTCTCCATTTCAGATGGTGCAAAAGGAGCTTCGAAATGAAATATTTTAAAAACATCTTTCTTGCGATCGGTTATGTGTAATGTTCCATTTTGATCGAAATGGCCAATGTCTCCAGTCAAAAAGAAGCCTTCATTGTCAACAGCTGCTGCAGTTGCCTTTGGATCACTCAAATATTCAATTAATTTATACTTCGTCCTAGTGCATGTTTCACCATCGATTTCCATTATCATCGACTATTTTCATGGTCAAACCATCACACAACACTCCAGCACTATATTTGCCATTTTTATTCAGAACCCATAGAAAAATCATTCCTATTTCAGTCAAACCATACCATGATGTGATCTTAGCATTTGGATAGTAACGATATGTTTCAGTTACTAAGCCTGAAGATACTTTACCACCACCAAATAGTATCTGTCGCAAACTTGAAAGATCAGTCGTAAGAACTAAATCATTTTTTAAACACGCAATCATATAAAATGGAACGGCTATTAAAAGTGTCACTTTGTGTTTTTCAATTATTTCGAACTGAAGTGTTGCCGAAAAACTATATTTAGTTATAATCCGTGTCGATCCTTTCATACTGCATGACATTACATTCATTAACCAAGATCCCCAATATATCGAAGAAAAACTCAAACATATGTCATCTTTAGATAGACCTCTGATATCAAGTAAGTTAATCCACCATATAGGAATTGAAATGCCTATATTTAGAGTAAAAGATATACATTTTGAGAAACGGATATTACGCTATTAAAAAACACACATTAATATAAAAGTCATACATTTTGATGGACCAGTTGAGCCCGAAGATGAGAGTATTGCTCCAATATCATTTAACACATCGACGTGAACGGGACTAGAAATATAAAATGTCTTACATCCGTAAGATGAACTTTTCCGCACTGTGATCCACAACATGCATTTATTACAAATCTTTTACTCAAAGAAACTCGATACAAATAATTTTCGAAGTACTTTTCATACAAAAACTACTAAAAATGGGAATTTTTGTATCGCAGCCATGCCTATATGATATCGTAATCATGTGCAAATTTGCAGAGGTTATTTTTTTCAATAAAAGTTAACATTCTGAAAGTTTGAAGAAATTTCAATGCATATTAAGGGTACCTCCCATACAAAATTTCGTTTTTGAGCAAAAAATTCCCCTAATATGCGTTGAAATGTCTTCAAACTCTCAGAGTGTTATTTTTGTGTGGTAAAAATAACCTGTGCAAAGTTTCAGCTCATTACGATATCATAAAGGCATGGCATTCATACAAAAATCCAATTTTTTAGAAATGTTTGTATGAAAAGTGTGTCGAAAATTATTTGTATCGCAAAACTAACGTCATATTCGGGTTTATCGTAGGAATACATTAAATATCACTTTTGGAAGAAAAATTGAATTTTTCCCATGGATGGCCATGGGCATCACACAAGATATGACACTTTACCCTGTCAACCAAAGTCACTCAAAATCTAATGGTTTCTATTCTTCGGCACCCCCAATCATCCTGTGAAGTCAGATTTTGAATTACTTTTCTTGTTTGAAAGTTATCGTGTTAACAAATTTTTGCGTACAGCGTACAGGGTACGCACATACATTCGGACATCGAAAAAACGCTAGATTCGTGTTCCCCGGCTCCTAAAACACCCAGAAAACATGTTTTTTGAGGGTGTTAATTTTTCGACCGATTCCAATACTTTACCTTACACACTAGGTGTGTGCGGAAAAGTAAAATTCACACTGAATTTGTTGTCTATCTGCAATTTTTGAAATATTCAACAACTTAAATTGCTTGCGACTCGAAACAAAAACATTCGAAACGATGTTTATTAATAGTCATGATGCTAATCTTCCCACTAGGGTGAGACAACGTACAACGTACGACGTACAGATTAACAAAAACCATGTTTAAAAACGCCAAATTCGGGTTCTCTGACCTCAGAAACGTCCAGAAAACATGTTTCTGAAGTTTTCAAAATTTTGACCGATTACAATACTTTTCACCTTACACTATGTGTGCGGAAAAGTAAAACCAACCAAAAATGCGACTCTCTCAACACGATTTATCGGTCAGGAGAGCAAAAGAAAAAAGTACACAAACAACACAATCAGAAGAAGGTGGATGCGCTGTAGTTACACATTTCAAAGCGATTGGCCATGAACCTGACCTAAATAAAGCGTTCAGATTAGTATTCAGTAAGTGCGTCTTTCTTTCTAACAATTTTTAAAAACAATACACACATTCATAGTCATTTATTTATTTTACAGTCCCTTGATAAAAAGCAATCAAATTTCAAAACGTTGGAACAAATAAAATAAAAATTGACAAACGGAAACAGCCAAACTATAATTACATCTTTTTATTGAATCGAAGCCGAAAACACAATACATTATCGTATATTTCTTCTTTGTTACACTCCTTCAACGCATGTTTTCATTTTCATTGTCTTTCATATAGATTCTAATCTTCTATACAGTACATAGTGTTTTTAATGATCGCATGCACTTTTGTCACTTTATTATCACAAACACGCTTTGTTTTATTTGCTAGTGTGATTGAATAAGAGCAATAGACAATATATAGATAATAAATCAATTATTGAATCGTAAAAAAACAACATTTAAAACTTCTTTATAAAATCTATGCAGTCAAGCACTGAAAAGCAGTCTGTTCAAGTAAGTCACGCGTGAAAGTGAATTTAATTCTTAAAATGTCCGAAAAAATGTCTTATGTTTGCGAAGACTTTGATACTAAAGTAATACACGCTGGCCAGCAATTCGATCAATGGAAGCATAGAGAAGTAGTTCCATCTATTGTACCATCGGTTACATTTTTCCGAATTGATCCAACAACCATAGATGTAATATTTGAAATTCATCTTTCGAAGATTTTTTTTTCAATTTTTAAATTTGGTTTCATTTCAATTGTAGGGATATTCGTACAGTAGATTTGGAAATCCAACTCGTGATGCATTGCAACAATGTTTGGCTGAATTAGACAACGGAAAACATGGTTTGGTGTTTCCATCAGGTTCCGCCGCCACCCATGCTGTATTTTCCTTACTCAAATCTGGTGACCATATTGTTTCGTGTTTTGAACAATTCGGTGGAACGCGTCAGGTTATAAAGTTTGAAAAATAAGAATTTCTACTAAAAGGAATTAGTTCTTATATAATTACGCTGTTATTTCTAACCAGTAAACACTGGGATGTGTCTCAATTTTTTTCAAAATTCCTATTGGATATGCGCATTGCGCAACTTTCATGGGAAGTAACATACGAACCCATTGAAACCTTAATCGGTTCTTTTTCTTCATTTACGAGATCGGGTTTTTTGGACCCCTCTTTCGCATCCAGCAGGAATTTTGAAAAAAATCTGTGACACACTGAGGATGCTTAAGTTAATTTAAATTTAAAATTAGATTATGCTGGATTACGCTGAAAAAGTGGGAATCGAAATCGATTTTGTCGATGTAACTGAGTTAAGACACCTTCAGAATGCAATCAAACCGAATACAACGGTAAAATCATGTTGGAAGTTTCACTTGATGAGAATTACTTTAAATAGTTCGCTTTAATTTTAGTTGATTTGGTTAGAAACACCGTCGAACCCTTTATCAAAAATTACTGACCTTCAAGCCGCAGTCAAAGTAGCTCGTTCGCATATGGACTCCAACATAATTATTGTTGTAGACAACACTTTATTGACGCCATACTGTCAAAGACCTTTGGAAATGGGTGTGGATATAGTTATGTATTCTCTAACGAAATACATGAATGGACACAATGACGTTTTGGGTGGAGCTCTAATTGTTAACGATGACGAACTTCATAAAAATTTACTTCATTTTCAAACGTTTTACGGTTCAGCACTGTCCCCGTTTGATTGTTTCTTAGTGAATCGTGGTCTTAAAACATTGTCACTTCGAATGGAGCGACATTTCCAAAATGCTTTAGCCGTAGCCCATTATTTGGAGACACATTCAAAAGTCGTGAAAGTTTATCATCCTGGACTTCGATCGCATCCACATTATGAACTTGCGAAAAGACAATGTTCGGGAAATAGCTCTATGATAACCATTGAATTGAAGGGTACACCAGAACAAACTATAGAATTCGTCAAAAATCTTAAAATTTTTCTGTCTTGCGGCAGCGTCGGAAGCTATGCCAGTTTTGTAAATATTCCGTGAGTATGGTATGATTCATTTTTATTTACGATTGATTCAAACACTTCTTGTTCACAATATCAGAATTTATGTAAGCCATTATGGTCTCCCTCAAGAGACACTCAATGAACTTGGAATTTTGGATACACATATTCGTTTGATACCTGGACTCGAAAGTATCAACGACCTCATCAACGACTTGAAGCAAGCTTTTGAAACGACATTCAGGCAAACAAATGCTTAAAATTTGCATTTCTCTGGTATATTAAAATATTTCTATATTTAGAAAAACTAGAGTTTTGTGGCGAATCTTTCTGAACTGAAGTGTTATTCATTGAAATGGCCAAAAATATAAGTACAGTGTTATGATACAGTTATTTTCGTTTTATTTTTGTAGAAACATTCAAAAAATTATATACCTATCGAGACAATCAGTGTTTTATTTGTTTATGTACTCTGGTACATGAGTGGGAAATTACTCTGTGAAAAAAATAACCTGTGTAAAGTTTCAGCTCATTACGATATCATACAAGCATGGCTTCCATACAAAAATCCAAATGGAGAAAACATGTTTTTTGAGGGTGTTAATTTTTCGACCGTTTCCAATACTTTACCTTACACACTAGGTGTGTGCGGAAAAGTAAAATTGTACAAAATATCTAACTTTAAAAGTTTGTCGATTTGACGTCTTTGCTCTTTTTTACGCGTTTTTTTAACTGTACTTTTTTGCGTGCGACGAATCTATATCTATAACAACTCACTATTCTAAGCCATTGGCTACTACGACTACTGCGGCACTATTCGATCAACTGAGTTAAGCTGCACAAGCTTTGGTCAGGAGATAAATGGGTAACCGTTTAGAACATCGCATGTAGTCGTAAAATACTGTGTCAACCGGGTCTGTGTACAACAAAGGTATGGATTTCAGCACAGACACGTAAAATAGAAATCCAACGCCATATAGAATATGGCAAAATCATAAGAAATGTAGGATACAATCGGCTGATCACCGATTTATCTGAATTAATTGATCAACAGAAACCAGAAAGATAAGAATTCTTATCTCAAGGCCCTATACTCCACTAGGAGTTAAAGGAAATAATAAAAAAAAAAAAAAATTCTAAGCCATTGAAATAAGAATTGAATAACAAGAGATAAAGATAGAGAATGAAAAAATCACTTTGTACTAAATGAAATATTTTATTATATGCTCGTTATCAAGAAAATATAGCGCGTATTGATGTATATTGTCAAAATTATACAACTGTCTTATCTTATCAGTCTTAGTTGTGTTCTCATCTGCTCTCATGTTGTGTTCTGACTACAATATTCAAAATTCGCTCTGAATCCGTTGTCTATCTGCAATTTTTGAAATATTCACCTACTTAAATTGATTGCGACTCTATATTAAAAATTCTTTCGAAACAAAAACATCCGAAACGATATTGTTTGTGGAATGAACGTGAAACGTGAAACTCCGATAAATAATCAAATTGAATAATATAAAACACCAAAAATTGAGTTCACAATATAAAGAAATTTATTTAATGAATTTCTAAAAAACTTTTGTATGCATTTCGACAAAATTTCTTTATATTGTGAACTCAATTTAAGGTGTTTTAAATTATTCAATTTGATTATTCGAAACGATGTTTATTAATAGTCATAATGCTTATCTCCCCACTTAACCGAAAGCATTCACTTCAAATCGCACAGTCTCTCTTTGAGCTCTGATCTTATTTTTGCAAAATGAAATATTCAATCGTTTCCGTATTCGCTTTAATCAATGTATTTTGTGAAGGGCGTGATTTCGAGTGTGGTTACTTTCAGGATGGAATTGAATCGATTGGATATCATTGTGCATCTTTCGATGAAGAATTACCCGTGGATTGTTCGTCGAACTTTTTTTACCTACTAAATGACTCAAATAAATCAAAAGTAACCCATTTAAAAGTGAACGGATGTGATTGTGTCAGTGTCAAAAAAGTTGCCGAAAATTTTCCTAATTTAAAATCATTGGACATTTCACATTCGAAGATTGAGTCAGTGGAACTATTTAACATGAAACATTTAGTGAAAATAAATGCCGCGCATAATCGATTGACCGAAATTCCAAGCCACTTCTTTTCGAAGCTACCCAACATAACTGAATTGGATCTATCGCACAACCGTCTGACTAAAATCGATAAATTGCCCACGAACTTGGTGAACATTGATTTGTCTCACAACCACATTAAAAATTTATTCACCCGGACCTATGAAGATCTCTTAAATTTGGAGCATTTGGACTTGAGTCACAATTCAATACGTAGTGTTGATTTTTTTTCATTTGCCGAAAACAAAAAACTAAAAGTGTTGCAATTGAGGAACAACGAAATAGCCGATTTTGACAGCACACTTGCGCGATTGGTGCAAAGAGGAGTATCGGTGTATATATCATGGGATCACATCAGTACGTTCAGTTTATCGGAGTACAGAGGAGATAAAATACGCGTCATTTTGAAGAACAACGAAAAAGAAGGTATCATCCATAAGAAACCTAGTGGAAAGGTCGTGTTATATTGCAATGCGATGAGTTTTAAACATATCATCACAGTTGACATCGAGGGTCATAATATTGAAAATCCAACCGAAATGCTGCAATGCTTTCCACCATCAATCGCCACTATGCGCATATCAGGAACCTTTGCGGAGAAACTGGATTTTAGTCTTCTACAGAGATTTAGCGTACTGACGTCATTGTCCATAAAGGGTACGCAGTTGAGAAACTTCGATTTTGCCACGTTAAAAAATTGCACAAAGTTACAAGTACTCGAAATGATCAACACCAACTTGGACCGAATTTCGAACGTTGCAGTTTTCGACAATTTCAAAGATTTGCACCGCTTGAACCTCGAAGGAAACCAAATATTGAATATACCGCAATTAATCCCCCATTTGAGCTCAAATATTTGGGATTTAAATTTGAACGGAAATTTTGTTGGAAAATTAAATGCGTCGACGTTTGAGAGGCTTGCCAATATCCAAAGTCTATTCTTGCGAAAGACTCACCTTTCTTTTGACGACTTGAAGCCCTTCGAGCCATTTGACGAACTCAAGGACCTGGATATTTCCCATAATAATTTGGAAAGAACAGATTTTACCGCATCATCAACAGCTTTAGAGAAGTTGACTTCATTCTGGGCCGCTCGTTGTAAAATCGCCAAAATGGCAGAGTTATTGAAAATGCTGACCAATTCATTTTTCTGGATAATCGACATATCAGAAAATACTGTGGGCCAATTAGATGATGGTAAATTTGGACATTTCGAAAGAATATTCCAACTAAATGCAAGCAAAACAAGCCTATCGCAGGTTGATATCGATTTAATGAACCAATTTAGAGTTCAAATTCTCGACCTCTCTCATAATAACTTGAAAACAATGAACTTTTCCTCTGGATTCAGCGATATACATCAACTTTTTGTACAAGAAAATGAATTGACGGAAATGAACGGCCTTCTACAAACCGATATTCCGTGGATTTGGGGACTAAATATCTCGAGAAATCAGTTTTCATGCGATTATTTGAAGACGTTTATACCACGGCTTGAGAATAAATTCACCACATTCAAAATGTTCGGCGATCCATTGGTACAGAAACACACAAACTGTCATCCTCAAGCAAAAGTTGGCTATTTTGAATCCTTTTGGATGAGAATACGTAATATTTTTTAGATTTGAAATATAAAAATGAATGAATATCGTGAATTTCTTATACAATAACACAAATAAGGTCTTTTTTGGACGAATAAAGTAAATTGTTTCATCTTGTATTTTTTGCTTTTTTCAAGTTGAACGTGAAATAAAATCGTTCAATGAGAACGTGATAATGGATTTTATGTGACTTATAAAAAAAAGTCACACGAGTGTAATTTCGAAAAGTCACACGAGAGTCAAGTGATTTGTTTTTTGTTTTTGTTTTAATCAACACGAAAACTGCGATTTTTTTGCGTTTTTAAGTTGTTATTTTGAATTGACTGATTTGATTGACAAACACATTTTTCAATCATATGTCAATTGGAAATGTGAATATCTATTATTGGCAGCCTCACATTTGCTCACATTTTTTTTACATTAATCAGTTGTGTTTGATTTATTGTGTTCAGTTCAAGTGGTTTAAGTCAAAAGTATGCTTGGTTATTCTTTAATTCACTCTTTCTTCTTCTTTTCTTTCTATCTCCTCTCTCTCTTTCCTTCTTTTTCTCCTTGTCAGTTTTCTCCCTTCTTCTTCCATTTTTCTTTCTCTTTCTTTGTATTCCCTCTCTTCATTCTTCTCTCTTTCCATAATTCTCTTTCTCTTTCCTCTCCTATATCTTAAATTATACTTTGTTAAACCTGAGCATGACACCGTACTTCTGAATCAACTTGTTTATAATGAGCGAATTGCTAAGGGAAGTATTAGTATGCTCCTATTAGCAGCCGTTTCTAAGTTCGCAGGTGCGACAGTACACTGTGCAATTGCACAGATATATATAGTACAAAAAATGAATATGGGCAGTGCGTCGGAAGCTTGTTTCATGCGTAAAGGTTTCATTTCAAAAACCATGTCATATTGCCTTTACATTTCCATTTCAGTTCTATTACAATTATCCGACACCGAATCTTCCAATATAAAATTTGGACTAGAACATAGATTGACAGACAGGATTTGGTTGGATGCGGAGAAAGAGAGATAGAGTTACCAAAACAAACATGTATGAAGAAGTGAAAATGATCGAATACGATGTATCCCATGTAGTGGTGCATATAAATGATAAAACATTGCGGCCAACTTATATCAAACACACACACGCCAACACCGACACAAGCAAAGTTGCACACGTAGTGTACAAGATGAGAAACGAGAATTAGGCTGTGTGAGTCATACGTAGTCGAACACTGAAGGAAGAAGCACACGTTTGTTGCTCTGAAGTCTAAATACAAACACACACATTTTTGCACAAATCAATTGAACGGTGAGTTTTGGAAATAAAACTAACTTTTCTATTTAGCCAACAATTTAATTAATTTGGAGAATTTACAAACAAATTGCACTAAAGTCAAAATCGATAGAAATAAATCACAACAAAACGCAAAATATTCAATTAAATAATCTGTCTGGGAATAATTGTCATTGAGAAAAGTTGATGGGATAATTATAAAAGAAGTTATGCAATTCAATATTCAATTGCATATTCTGGGAATTTCCTTTTCTTTCTTGTTAGTTTATTTTTGCTAAACGTTTTTCGGTTGAACATTTTCTATCTCCACTATTTGAAATGGCGTCTAGATCTTTCTCAGAATTTTTCCATGACGTCATTTCTACATAATGGACGCTTCGCAACACCCAACACACATTCACTCTTGTATGTGTATGTGAATCAGTTTTGTGAGGCATGCAGCATATCGGTGTATGTTTTAAGCTTATTTGTTGAGGTTATGTTTAGAAAATGGAATATATTTGAACAATTGCGTTGTTTGTTATCTACAGATTGATTTCAATTTATCGATTAAATCTTACAAAATCCAATAAATCCCATTAGAAGGAATGAAAATTATAATTTTTGATTCACAATTTTTTTGCATTTCACTTTCATATCGTATTAGCAGTGGATCGAAATGAATCCGTATCGCAGCAGTAGAACGTTGGGTGGAAAGTCCAAAAAGCATAAATGCAAGCGAAATAAAAAGATACCGTCGATTAAAATCAAAGAAGAAGTCGATGTCAAACCAGAACCAAGTGATGGTACATATTTGATTCAACAGATGCCGTCATCGCCCCAAGCAACACCGAATGGAGTCATCAAGTCAGAGAGCGAGAGCGATATTGAGATCGATTTGGAAAGTAAGCCGAATTATGTGAAGAAAGAAATCAAAAGCGAAGATGAATTGAAGAGCGACATGGCGAAGGATGGAAACGAAATGGTAAATGATGATCAGATTGGTGAAAGCTCAAGTGCTACAAAACGAAATTCAAATAAGAAACAACGCAAAGAAGGTCGTTCAAAACGGAAGAAGTCAAAAGGTTCAAAAAATGACAGAATGGCCAAACCTTCAAAGAAGCCGTCCGTGAAGCATGGGAAAAAACACAAATGCACTTTCTGCAATTATGTGACATCGCAAAAAGGACATCTCACAAGACACATTCGTACCCACACCGGCGAAAAGCCGTTCGCATGTGAAATATATGCCAAAGCTTTTGCACAAAAGCACAATTTGAATCGTCATAAGAAAACTCATGCAGCAGAATTTCAATTTTGTTGCTCAAAGTGTCGTCAGGCACATGAAATCGATAAAATGAACCACGAGGGCAAATGCAAACATCGTCAATATGCTTGTCATCTTTGCAAAAACGCCGCTCATCATTTGCAACATCTTAAGCAACACATGCAAATTCACAATGGTGAGAGATCATTCAGATGCCGTGTTTGCGCCAAAACATTTCTACGCAAAGATGATCTTAACAACCATTCACGCACCCACATTAAAGAACTTCCATTTGATTGCGCACAATGTGGTCGACGATTCGCTGATGAAAACGAGAAACAATCGCATGAGGATCATTGCAAAGGCCGACGATACGTTTGTTATCTTTGCCCATTCAAATGTTTTCAAAAATACGATTTGAGGCGGCACATGCAAGTCCATCACACTGGCGAGAGAGGATTCAAATGTGGTGTTTGCGGAAAGAAATGTCTTCACAAAGGTCATCTCAAGCAACATTTGGCAACACACTCCAAACGAAAACCGGTCCATTGCTCCAAATGCCTTATGCCATTTGCAAATGTAGACGATATGATTGCTCACAAAGATCGCTGCAAGCGTCGCCTTTATCAGTGTTATTTGTGCAAAGTTTTAAAGAATCAATCAACACAATTACAAGGACACATGCGAAACTATCACACTGGCGAAAAGCCATTTCCATGCAAACTATGTGACGGTCGTTTTTCACTACTTGGACAAGCTAATTTGCATATGAAAAAGGTACACGGTTCAAAGAAATGATTGCGACGCTAATCAACTACGATCAGTTCGTAGGAAATTGAAATTCTTTCATGAGAATCCACAAACAATTATGTTGCTGCATTAAAATATCCATTAAATTAAGACGTACCGAAACTATGCTCAAAGTGTCAAAAAGCTAGCGCCACGACGGAATTCAATATAATCTATACTAGTGAAAAGACTTTTTCTCAGTTACAAACAACTGACTAGAACTCCATAGTTGTACGTAGTGGCGCTAGCTGTGCTATAGTTTTGCATTTTATACAGTCTCTTATGGAACATAATTGCAGTATGAATTAAGAAAAAGCCACATCCACCTTATTCGAAAACATTGTTATGAATTCAATATATTTAATTAAATGAGAAAATACACCATTTTTGGCTTAAAGATATTAGAAGTAGTACAGAAATCTAAAATAATGCACTTTATGTAAAAACCGAGAAACAAAATTCATATCTTTTCCCTTATATGCCTTGCATCCCTATTAATTGAACAAAATAAAATAAATCCAATGCAGTCAACAAAAATTGCTAGAGTTTTATTGTTTTTTTTTTGTTTGTCATATTTATTTGATCTCTGTCTGTGGAGCTGGGAAAAAGCGAAGAGTAAACAAATGATGTTGACCCAACAATAACCTTCAATTGATCACTGATCACTAATCTGTTTTACAAAAGAAAGTCAAATCGATCCGGTTTTGAGTGAAGTGAGTACATTTCACCTTGGAGGTCGGATAGTCTTCTATTTCAAACCAAGGTGTTGAATTAACTGCTGATAATCGATCTTCCACTTTTTGTGTAAAAGAAAATACGTTATGAATAACATACATTTAAAAAAATCTCTTTTGTTTGTCACCGAAATCATTTCAAATCTGGATGGTATTCATTTTTTTTACATAAAATACATTTCCGTTTCAATTCAAAATACAACTTTAATTCTCTGACACCGAATTTCAACGTCTCAGTGAATGCTTATCAACGATTTTTTCCCTTTAGAATTTGAAACTTGATAACCTAAAAGTCGCAAAAAGTCGGCAATGTTTGTTGATGAACCTTTAAAACAGAGATTCATTCAAAAATATAATTGTCATGTGCCTTGAAAATGGTCAATGATAAGGTACCTTATGATGTCATTTGTTAAAATTGCTTTATAGTAACTCTGCTTTAAAGACCCACGTAAAGACTCGAATTGCCGAAATTGTGTTTTTCATATTCGTATTTGCTCACTCACTGTACACCCGAACGATTGTGTGTAGCCATAGTTTGTGTCTTTACATTTAAATTCAATACTTTGCTCGATATGAAATTTGCGATCATTTTCTTGTTTTTATTGGTAAAAATTTGTGAATCGAATGATTTCGAGTGTGGTTATGCGGATGACCGAATGCAATCTATCGAATTTTATTGGACAAATTATGAAGGTTCTGTTCCGGTCGATTGTTCAATGACTTTTCAATGCGCGATAGCTGCATATAATAAGTCAAAAGTGACAAAATTAAAACTTGGTGGTTGTGATTCTGTAAAAGTGACGAAAATCGCCGAAGATTTTCCCAATTTGAATGCATTGGACATTTCACATTCTGGAATTGAATCACTGGACCACTTCAATTTGCACCACGAACATTTGATGAGTTTAAATGCGTCGCATAATCGACTAACCCAAATTCCCATCAATTTCTTTTTTAAACTAACCCGGATCGAGTCGGTGGATTTTTCGCACAATAAAATTATCGAAATTAATGAATTTCCCATTGAATTGGTGACCATCAATTTATCACACAATGAAATCTCATATTTGAATCCAACTGATTTCAAGGACCTCACGGACTTGGAACACTTGGACTTGAGCTACAATTTAATCACCGAATTTGCTTCCGATAATTACATACTTTCTTATAACAACAAGCTAAAGACACTTGGATTAACTGGGAATCCAGTAAAAGAATTCGATTTTAGACTCTCCCAGTTGGTGCAGAGAGGAGTTTCGGTGTTTGTTTCTTGGTTTTTTATCACAGAATTACGAATGTGGAATGACCAGACTGGAAAAGTGCTTGTGGTTCTGAGCGACGATAAACAGGGTGTTTTCCATACGAAAACTGGAAGCGTAGAGTTTCATTGCCGTGAAATGAGTTTTGAGCACATTTTTAGAGCTGAGATCAAAGGCACTGAAATCGAGAACCCCAACGACCTACTGCAGTGTCTCTCATCGTCACTCGAATATTTGGAATTATCCGAGATCTTCGAAGGAACACTAAACTTGAATCTGCTCGATCGCTTCAAAAATTTGGTAAATCTTTCATTGCGCAGTGTAAAATTGGGGAACTTTGACTTGGAAATACTTCAAAATCACAGGAATCTCATATTTCTTGATCTGTCAGACAATCATTTGAAAACAATCCACAACGTCCCGCGCTTGGCAGACTTTAAACATCTCATTGACTTGGATGTTGAAGAAAATCAAATTGATAACATACCAGAGTTACTTCGCCACTTGAGCTCGAAAATAGTCAATTTGAATTTGGCCGGAAATTATGTGGGGCCATTGACTGAAACTACATTCGCCAAATTTATCAATATGAACAGATTAATATTGAAAAACACAAGCCTTACTTTGGAGAATTTGAGGCCGTTCGAACCATTTCGTGAACTCCAAGAACTGGATATTTCCCACAACAATTTGGAAAATGTAGATATTACAATGTCATCAACGCTGTTCAGTAAACTCAAGAGATTTTATGCGGCTTATTGTAACATTGAAAACACACCAAAATTGATAAATCAACTGGGGTCAACTATTCGGTTCTTGGATTTGTCGGGAAACTTCATTGGCGAATGGAATGCTAAAATGTTTAAAAATTTGAAAGAACTGAGATACATAAATTTAAGCAACACAAGTTTAAGTTTCATTGATGCCAATGTATTTGAAAATCATCCCAAAATCAACAAAGTCGATCTGTCTTATAATAAGTTGAATGCGGTGGATTTTGCATTCGGCTCAAATAAATTGAATTCGCTGAATTTGGAAGGAAATGATTTAAGAGAAATGGACGATTTTACAAAAACGCGGTTTCCATCGATTACACACTTGGACATTTCAAATAATCAATTCTCATGCAAATATTTGGAGACATTTTTACCACAAATTATGCACGAGTGGCCGGATTTAATGATCTTTAATCATTCGTGGACACAAAAACATGGCGAAATGTGTCGACAGGAAGGATGAAGAAGTAAAATTAATTTGCAAATATTGTTTGAAAATTGTAAAATAAAGTGGAATTGAAGATATCAATTTTTCGTTGAGTTTTAATGCGAGTTTTTTTTATCTCACTTCAAGCTTACTTAGGTGGGAATGCCAAAGATTTTAGAGGAGTTGGTGTCAAAAATTCAAAGGTCGCGGAAAAAGTACAGAAGGGCAAAAGTCGATTCTATCTAATATAAACCTAGAAACAGGAACAATTCTAATGTGAATTTGTGCAACAAATCGTTCACACAAACTGTTTTGTATTGCCTCAACAATTAGGAACAATTCTATTCTGAAATAAGAACATTTTATAATGGGTTCAATGAAAAATTAGGGAAAAACTCCCCATTTGGGTCAAAAACGATTTTTTTTAATCCGAGATACCCCGAATTTGCATTGAAATTCGGTAAATCTTTCAGAATGTTTTTTTTTTTTTGTGAAAAAAAATAACCTGTTCAAAGTTTCACGTCATTACGATGTCATGCAGGTATAGCTATCATACAAAATCCAATTTTTTTATGATTTTTTTTAGATTTTTATTTGAAAAGTGTATCAAAACTTATTTGTATCGCTAACCTAACATCATTTTCGGGTTTTCCGTGTCAAAAAACTTCCCACTGCGTATTTTTTTTACAGCAGAAAAGACATTTTTTCTTGACTTTAACATTGCTCCGAATTTGTTAATCGAGAAAACTCCCTGGTAGACTTGATGACGTTTTTTAATCAAAAATGGTCTCAAAAACGTTTTTTTATGTTGTATTATCAAGATCTTTTTTTGGCCACTCTAGCTCCCATACAATATCCACTTTTTTGGTGACCTTTTTAGATTTTTGTTTGAAATTCCATCAAAACTTATTTGTCTACACGTGTACTAAACTAATATCATTTTCGGTTTTTCCGTACCAAAAATCCTCCAACTACATATTTTTACATTACAGAAAAAGAAATTTTTTGTGACTTTTAAAAATGCTTTAAATTCGGTAGTCGAAAAAAAAAAATGCAATCGTTCCTTGCGAGTATCATCGATCTACTTTTGGATGAAACGAAAATGGCAAACATGTTATTTTTTCATGAAACGACTTTATCTCTCTCAACTTGATTCTATTCACATAAATAACATTCATTATGAGCGTTTAAAAGTTATAAAATATACTTGTCGGTATTATTTCTTTTAATATACATGATAACAAGTTAACCCTTAACCGGGCAGGTCGGGTCTCAGAGGCCCGGTAGCGCATTTAAAAAAAAAAGATACATAAAATCGCATAAAATATTATTTTAATCAAACAAATTGTTTTGTAATATATTCTTTCATCCTTCTACTAATCGTTGATAAAAGTTGTTTTGAATTTGGTTCCCTAAGTAGCGCTGTATTGAGGTTTAAACAACTACTGAACTGAAACTTAAATTCATCCGATTCGGAATAAATATTGATTATTTTTTCATTTTTTCAGTTATATTTTACAAAAAACATATTTAATTCAATATCTATTATGTTAATACAATAATTTTCGTCGTATAAATTCGAAAAAATACAATATTAAATTTGAAAAAATAATTTTTTTTTCATTGAATTTGCATGGAAAATGTACGTCGGGCCTCAGAGGCCCCACTTGCCCGATAACGTTAGGATTTTGGCCTGCCCGGTTAAGGATTAAACGCTCAACCGACATAAAAAAAACGCTCGAAATGGCTGTATTCTCACATTGTTTTTCAAAATTGTAACACTGTATGCTGTGATCACTGTATAACCTTGAGTGTTTTACGATTATGTTATCGCATTTGCCTGTTTCCATTTGTTCCATACAAAATCGCTTACTGGTTAGTTAAATATGTGAAATCAAGTCGACATAATGTCTAACACTCTTCAAACTATGGTTTTTCGTAAAATTGCATTCTCACTAGTTTCTATATTGTTTCTAATCGAATTGTGTAAATCGAATGACTTAAAATGTGTTGTCATCAAAGATGGATTGGAATCGTTTGAGTTTTATTGTGAGAATTACAAAGGAAACTTCCCGATCAATTGTTCGACCGCATTGTTGGATTCATATGACCATTCTTCAAACTTTAGTGTGATCCGTTTAAAAATTGGTGGTTGTGATCCTATTTTGGCGAATCAATTTGTCGCCTATTATCCCAATTTGAATTCATTGGATATTTCGGAGTCAGAGTTAGTTTCTTTGGAATCGTTTGATATAAATTTAAATGATTTGAGAAAATTCAATGCATCACATAATAACTTGACTAACATTCAACCGAATTTCTTTGGAAATATGTCCAATATTTCAACTATTGACTTTTCATCAAATCAATTGATCGAAATTCGGGATTTACCGTGCAATTTGGAGTATATCGATGTATCGAATAATAATATATCGTTTCTATATCAAGATGATTCCGAAAATAATCAGCAAAACTTGAAGGAAATGCGGCTAAATGGCAATCCAATTTGGGTTTTTAATTGGAAACTGTTGCCGCTTATGGAATGGGCGTATTCCATATCAATTTCATGGGGTCAAATGGCGCAATTTAAAATATGGAGCTCTATTCATCGACCGATCCGCATCGTTTCGAACCATAGCTTTGAAGGATTTTTACCGGCATCAAACGGAACGATTGAATTCTATTGCAGTGAAGGAAGCTTCGAAAGTATCAATCGCTTTGAATTCATCAACAATGACATCATTAATCCAAATGAACTTGTCAATTGCGTGGGAACATCCGTTGAATATCTGTCATTATCCGGAAAATTTGTCAAACCATTGAATTCCACTTTATTCAAATCGTTTGTTAATTTAAAAGAATTGAATCTTCGTGGTGCACAGCTACGGGAGTTTGACTTTGGTCTTTTGGACAGAATGACAGCACTTGAACGTCTCGATATTTCTCACAATCACTTGGATAAGACCAGCCCCGACATTTCTTCACTGAAAAATGCCAACAATTTGGAATATTTGAATGTGGCCGAAAATCAATTGGAAATCACGATCAATTTGACTGAATACTTGAGTCCGAAGATTGTTTACTTGAATTTGAACGGAAATTATGTGGGAGAATTAAAGGAGAATACATTTGAAAAGCTGGTGAATTTGCAATATTTGTATTTAATCAACACAAGCCTTTCACTTGTTGACCTCAGGCCATTCGAGCCACTTCATCAGCTGCGCACTTTGGACATTTCACACAACAAATTGGCAAGCATTAATTTAAACGCACCGGTTTCTTCGTTGAAACATTTGCACTCATTTCGAGCTGTGGATTGTAAAATTGCAAATGCATTGGATCTTATCAAGTTATTTGCAGACTCAATTCATCTTTCCACACTCGATTTGTCCGGAAATTTTATAGAAGCACTGGACGCAAGCGCCTTCAGTGAATTTGATGAGTTGAAGCGTCTCAATTTAAGCAGAACCAATCTGAAGGAAATTGATTTTTATATATTAAACCATAAATATGAACTACAGTCGCTGGATCTATCGTATAATCGTTTGGAACATTTGAACTTTTTTACCGTGCTGAGTGATTTAGATTCACTTTATTTGCAAGGAAACAATTTGACCGATATCCAATACTTGACGAAATCACGATTTTCTGAACTTGCTTATTTTGAAATTGCGATGAATCAATTTTCATGCGAGTCGTTGGAAACATTTTTAACAAAGATTAAAGTAGAGTGGCCACTGTTGACCATTAAAAATGACCCATGGAAACAGAGCCAAGAGATTTGTGAACCAAGTGATGATAATAATGAGGGAAATAACATTAAATTTATTAAATTGAAATAATTTCGAATTAAATAACAAAATGTGCAATATAGCCTTAGTTACTCAAATGAAATTTTCATTATTAAATTGACAAATAAAATGTTTAAGAGTAAGAAAAGATTACGCGCATACAATGATTTTTGGATAGAATAGATCCGTAAGATCTCCGCAAGATCCGGATCCAAGCGTGCGTTCGTAGCCGCATGATACATACATTCCTTACTCCGTAATGCTATGGCATGCGAATCAAAGAAGGGGAAATAAGAATAACGAATTTGCGTGCGTATTATATATGTATGCATCATGCGGCAGCGTACGCACGCTTGGATCTGGATCTTGCGGAGATCTTTCGCATCTATCCTATCTAAAAATCATTGTATGATTACGCGGGTTTTTTGTGATAAGCGACACATGGCGATGAGTTTCCTTTGCAAACAACTTCTGACCTCTCTCTTTCTCTCTCTTCTTCTTTCTCTCTCGTTAACTATCTTTCTCTTCCTTTCCTTTCCTTTTTTTCTTTCTCCTTCTCTCATTCTTCAGATCACTCACTCTCAGTTTTACTTGATAAACGTAATTATAATAGCATTTCAACATGCTTAGCTAAGAAACATTTATAAGTGTCTCTATATTGTTATGTTTTCTTCAATCACTTTAAACTCGTGAATTTACTTGCTGTTTTTATATTTAAAGTGTTTTTCTAAACAGGTCCTTATTTTTACATCAAAACTGTTCAGATAACAGGCATTGCCTGATAAATAATGTTTAATCTCTCTGTTTAATCCAAATGAAAAGACGTGTCATATGTTTTTATTCATTTCAAAAAATATTTGTTCTTGTTGAATTAATAATAATTTTACTAAGTGTGAAGGCTACGTTCATTTTTCAAAATGTAATTTAAGTTTAATTAAGTTGATTCCTTTGTTGATTTTTCCTTTTTGCACACATTGTTTGGGATAGGTATTTAATATTGGCCCCCTTTCCTAAGCGTTCAATTGTAATCGTCCCTGAATTTTTTTGTGATTGAAATTCTTCAAGGAACTGTTTTCGTTTGTAGAAAATCGATGACCGATGGCGATCGGACGCTTAGGAAGAAAAGTTCATTCATTTAATTTTGAAATTGAAAGACAAAAACGGCAGGTTATTCATTTAAATCTACTTTATTTCTTATGTTATAATTTGAAGAAGTTTTATCACTTTATTGTAATTTGACCACTACCATGAATATCACAAAAAAAAATCACAGAATTTTACATTCTACAATCATTCGATTTTCAAGAGATTTTTTGGCGAAACCTATAAAAAGGACACCGCTTCACATAGATAATTTCAAAATAATATCTGTGTGAAGCGGTGTCCTTCTTGGAGATCATTTTTTTCTTGACGGCGATGCAATATTTTCGAAGTTGCAGTAATTAAAATCAAGTTCACTTAACACTCCAAACGCTTTGAACAAATTATATGCCACAAATCATGTGAACAGTGAAATAAACACCACAGAGTGCGATTCAAGTATAACTATTTATTGAGCGATGTGTTGGTGTTTATATAGGCAAGAAACACATACAAAAGCGATTATGTGCGAAAAGGACCACAGATAATGTATACATATCGTTGTGTTACTTTCACACATTAAATGCTATTGATGCGATTATATAGACTGCCTGCTATTGAAAAACAGACGACCTCACACAACCGACACATTCAAAGACGAAGTTTAACACGCGTTCCCGTATGGAAAAAAGGACAAGTCAAGTATAAATGAATTAATTCGACTACAGTCAAGCTAAGATGATTGGTTTAAATACAAATTTTTAAATCGTTAGTCATTTCAATGCAAAGTTGACTATAATTGTTTCATTTTGTTCGATCAATAAAAAATAGGCAGTCAAAATGTCCCAAATTAACCAGACTAGTCAGCCGATATTTTTACACACGGGTTTTCACTGTTTTACGAAAAGTTGATTACTGCAAATGTGAGAACATTATCTGTGGTGCTGATGTCAAGATGTGTGTGTGTGTGTGTGGGGGGGATGTTCGGGTATGAAATGGTATACATTTTTGAATAAAAAGTGTTTTACTTTTGTTGTTTTTGGTTAGAATTTATGGTAAAAATATTGCATAGCTACTCCATGAATAAAAAGCTTGGTTTTGCCGACAAAATTGGCTTTCCAAATCCAAAAGGAACACGTTCAATATTTTTTTTTGAACCAAATTTTCATCCATTTCTTTGAATTGTTACCTTGAATGTTTATAGACAGTTTTAGGCATATACATTTCTATTTTGACAGGTGTTTACCGTATTTGTGAGTTCAATTCCCTTTTGACGGTTCTTCAAGGTTGAAAAATAGTATTTTAAAGAAATATTTCGGAGCTGAAGCATTTTTCAGCTACGCTTTAAATATAAAAGGAAACACTGATAAAATGAATTTTCAAAATGAAAGAAGCAAAATTGTGTATTTGGATTTCTGAATTATTTCATTTGATTATTTGCTTTAAAGTAATTATCAAGTTCAAAAACTCGATCTCACTCGTCTTACCGAAGATTTCCAAATTGAATGCCACGCAACAATTAACGAAACAGAATATCAACTGGTGCATTTGGACCCAGTGAAGCTTTCATCAGGCACATAATTGTGTGAATATCTACTAGGGTGGATCGATTTTTTGTTTTTGAGAATTATAAAAACGACTAGTGTCATATCGATAGAGAATGTCAAGATAAGAAACTTTTGTTTGGACACTTTTTCCCACGGACCCGTTGGTCTGTCATGACTCACTCAATTTTCAACCTTGAAATATTTTTTGTTTAAAAAAAAAACGTCGTTGAAGTAACCTATGCAATTATTAATAATAAATCCAATAATCTAAACCTATGCAAATTGATAAGACGAAGTGGTAGATACACCCTACAATTTCCACGAAATAAAAAAAAACATACGAACGTACAAGCAACTGCTTTCAAAAGGTTACATCACATTTAGATCATCAGCCCAATTTCGTTAGAAATAGCATCTTATCATTTTGGCGAATATATATAATCAATGATTATGAATTATTAATCATAAACCAAAACAGAAATCAGTGCGAATCAGTTGCCAATGCAAAAATATATATTCAAGCTGTAGTTCTCGACACAAAAACAGTTCAGCATCTTCAGTTCACTTCTCAAAATATTCAAGATCAAAAATAAAAGGTATTATTTTCTTGAGTATGACATAGAAATGATTTGATTTTTATAAAGTGTTGCATTCTATAAAATAATTTTTAAGAGCCAATGATCGGTTTCAATAATTATTATTTGCGGTAATTTGTTCATTTTCCAAACTTAGATGGATCTATCGGTGGATTGGAAAAAGATAATGCATGAAATGCTTGATGCGTTCGATCGCCAGGAAACAATTTCATTGGGAAAAATAAAAAAGGCATTTAAAAGCAATGGCTCATCGATCAACGATGAATTCAAGCAATATTTTCTACGCGTTTCAAATGATCGGTGAGTGATACCGGCAAAATTTCCAAAATTCAATAGTGTTTTTCATTTATTCATTGCCTGATTGTGTTATAGGATCAAGAATACGTACGATGAATTCGAAATAAATTCAAAGTTGGAGGATTCGAATGCGTCAGCAACCGATGAATATCCAAACTCATTTCAAGCTCGAAGTCATGGCATGAACAATGTCCAAAAAACAACCAATGACCCGGTTGAAATCATTGACATAAGTGACGAAGATGATTCAACATATGAATTAAATAAATATATTAAATATGACGAAGAAGATAGCCACAGCGAAATATCAGACATGAATTCAAACGACTTTGTTTGTGAAGAAGAATTCTCGAAGAGCGAAGATGAGGATTGCATCGATAATGAAATGGACAACCCGATAAAGGTGGAGAAAATTGAACTGGATGTTGGCATTCCGGTAGTCGACGATACCGATGTACACCATGCTATAAACACAACGAGCAAAGATACATACACTTTGAGCAATGAATCAAATACTGTCGATTGTGCCACAGCAAATAACACGATAGGCAGTTCAAATGATCGAAGACAAGCTGAACCGGGCTTGGCTCCAGAGCCATTGCGAAGAGAAAACCCAACTTCATCAAACTCAGCGAAGCGATACAAATGCGGATATTGTGAATATTCGAACAAGTACAAGTCACACCTGGATCGACACGTGCGTACTCATACCGGCGAGAAACCGTATCAATGTAATATATGCCACAAAGAATTCGTCCAATTGCATAATATGAAAAAGCATAAAACGACTCACAGCAGTGAATATCGATTCCATTGTTGCGGTTGTTTCATTGGATTTTCGAAGAAGAGCGAAAAAGATGCACACGAAAAAGTGTGCAGATCGCGTCGGTATGAGTGCCATATCTGCAAGAAGCTTCTCACTCTGAGTAAAAATCAGCTGATAAGACATATGCGACAGCACAACGGTGAAAAACCGTTTATATGCAAGATTTGTATGAGAAGTTTTACGTTGAAGAATAATCTGCGGAGACATTTAAACACCGTCCACGCCAGAAAAAATCCACTACCCTACTCAAGAAGGGCTCTTTCATCATGAAATATTGTGGAAATCAAATTTTATGGCATTTCTCCAGAGAAGAGTTGGCTAAGCTCTTGGGGGACCATTTAGCGATGAACTATCGGTATGAAACTTTACCAACAAATTGAAAAGTATCTAGGGTGAGAGCGATAAAACAACATCAAATCAAATTCGTCGCTGAATAACTATTTGAACAGCTCATGCCAATTTATTTTTAATTATAATCAATTTGTTGATTCTAAATATATGAATTCAAGAAAAATTATAAAAAAACATTTCAATAAAATTCAATGATAATAAATGTAATACAAATTCATGCCAGAGAAACAAACAAAAAAATTTCATTTCTTATGAAACGTTGGACATTCGCAGAACACAAACGAATGCTATGTGACAATGGTCCCTCGAATTATTTTGGCATGTTACATTTCTGTTGAATTGTGATGATTCACCAAAAATGATTACTATAGTATTTCCATAGAAATAAACATTTCTGACGAAAACGAAGCTCTCACATCAATGATAGAGAGTTGAATTAATAAACACATGCATGCTACGCATTAGTACGTACATAACGATCACGTGTGTGATAACCATATCACCGGCATATACAATGTATGCAAAACATCAGTAATTTCTTTTGCCGGTTTATTTAAAGCGATTTAAAGGAGATGCATAATCAAACTCGAATTGAATAAAGTGCGGAAAGTCGAAGTGAACTGATCGAACTGGAACAACGCAATTCCATCACATTCATTATTGAACCATGGTCGAGTCATGTTATGAAGTGGAGGCTATAATCGGTCAGAGAAACAGAAGTGGAGAGGTAATAGTCATTTTTTGTCATTTTTTTATGTTTTTTTTTTATTTTATTGAATCAAAAGTGTTGGTGGTTTTAAATCAGTGCTTTTAGCTATCACATTTTTTCGTTTGTTATCATTTACATTTGCTTTCGAATTTCACATGACCGGACATTTGACTATACATCCGCTTTCAAGTGTATCAAAATTATTTGTGTAATTATCGTTGCAAAAGTTGTATTTAATTAATTGTGTTAATGAATTCTAGATAAAATACCTCGTTAAATGGCTTGGTTATCCAAAGGACAAAGCAACTTGGGAACCAATTGAACATTTATACAATTGTTTGCCAAAAGTCGCTCAATATTATGAAGCAATTGAATTAAAAAGTAAAGGTAACTTCCCGGTTCATTCGTATTTATCAGTGTTTACAATTTGGATATGTTTTTCTCCAGGCATTCGGCAAATCATAGACAGCGAGATACACAATGGACATAAATATTTCCAAATTAGTTTTAATGGTGAAGAGAAAAATAGAAGGATTGACTATGAAACTGCCAAATACCACTTTGCAGAGGATATCATAGATTTTTTTGCATCTCGATCTCAGTGGACATCAACCGATATCAACAGCAACGTTTCGAATGGTGAACCAAATGCAGATCGTCCAGTTTAACAAACCAAACATCCTAGCATCCTAGTATGAAAAATCCAATAACAAAAAATACAATTAAAACTTAGAACTAAAAGTAGGATTCTTGAATGTTATGTAAATATGCAATCAAATCGAAACCAAGGCGTTTCTATGCCGGTGAAGTTTAATAATGTTCCATTTGTTGCTCAATTGCAAAAAGTTCAAAGAATTTAAAACTTTCGACAGAATAAAATATAATTTAATTAAACTTTCTTTCGACAGAAGCCTCTCATAAGATAAGACTTCAGAAGCCGCATCGTACTTGAACAACGATAAGAATTTTGTTTACAAATAACAAAATATATAAGCGTACATACAGTTCTTTTTCACTATCCACAGTAACGTATAAGCGCAAGCGTCTGCGTTGTTCGTAAACATAGACATCGATCGGTACGATGCGGCTTGTTTATCTTTCTATGTGTACAAAAAAAGCAATCACAAATAAAGTAACATTTTAAATTATCAATTTGTCGCATGTTTACATATTGAAGCTGTATTTTACAAACCTGAAGAAAAGACGAAAGTTTGAAACAAAAAAAAAAAACCTTTCTAACCACGACAGTTTTTGCCATGCTTTTGTTTCCACGAATCGCCAATAATCCTGATTCGCGGCCACTCTTGTTTCAATTGTGTCATGATCGATGTTAAGTATTCACATTCGAATTGATTTTCATAGATGCTCAAATAAGAGAGTCTGGGAAGGAATCGACGTGCCAAATGTTCGATCGCCACCAATTCATTTCCATTCAAATAGATGGTCTGTAAATTGATTGGTGCTCTGTCGATATCCAAGCTCCGCAAATGGTTATGTGAGAGATCGATTATCACTAGATCCAAATGACTTGCCAGCATATCAAAGTTAAAATCCGTTAAATTTGCATTGCGTAAACGTAAAACGTGGATATTTGGAATATTTGCTAAAGCATTATACACGCATTATAACACGTCGAGTGTTCGCAAGTCATTGTCCGAAAGATCAAAGTACGATAGAGATGACCCGAATCTTTTCATTAACTCCGTTGCGTTTGTGATTTTACATCCGGCGGCATAAAATTCTTGTACATTTTTCAAAACAATTGATGTTGATTTCGATACCGTAACAAATGGCAGCAAATATTTGTTATGCGACAAATTTATTTTCAATAAATTTGTTGGTAATTCGTCGATTTCTGTTAGATTATTGTGTGAGAAATCTAATTCAATTATATTTGGAAGGTTTGCAAAGAAATTACATGAAATTTCCGTCAATCGATTATGCGACGCATTAAATTTTGCCAAATTTTGCAAGTGAAGTGGTTCCAATGACGCAATTGCAGAATAGGAAATGTCTAGTGATTGTAAATTTGGAAAATGTTCAATAATTTTTGTGATTTCACAACCACCAACTTTTAATTGGGTCACTTGTGATTCATCGAAGTCAGTTATTGTGAATGTCGACGAACTGTTCACAGGCAATGGCCCTTCGGAATTCGCACAGTAAAATTCGATGGATTTTATTCCATCTTTTGATAAGCCATACTCAAATTTAATTGATTCACAGTATCCAAATAAAAACAGAACTACAGTGATCGTAAACTTCATTTTGAAAGAGTTAATATAGTGACTTTCCGGACGAAACTGTTCGTTTCAGTTTAAAATAAAATGATAAAGGGCCTGAAAATGAATTATCAACGTGCCGCGTGTGTGAGTATTTGTGGTGGACGGTGCCTGTACTGTTGATGTATGTATGTACTACGTGAAATATCAGACATGCTAAACAGATGATACGCATTTACAATTTTTAATTACATAATCTATATTCAGTTTTGAAGAAAACAATTGTTTTTGTGAAAAAGTTGGAATAAATCATTTATTTTCTTGAAGTTTTTTTACATTTTTTTACTTATTGGAATCATTTAATTTTATTTTCTGAAAGAATTTCGGCGCGATAGTTGATTTCAGGTTTAAGCCAAATTAATAATTTCACACGATCCAAAAACGTCTCTCTTTCAAATTTCCCCGTGTCTATGCAAATTTGGGCTTCGGTAGTTGTGGTCGGTTAATAAATGGTGGTGTGCCTGGACTCGGAAAACTAATTGGTCGTCCAATTCCACCATGACCTCGGTCACGGAATAATGGATCTGGTGATGCAAATGCCACTGCCAATAACAGCAAAACCGTTGCCAAGATTTCAAAAATGAGCTTCATTTTTTCTTTACTTATTCCGTTAACTGTTCTCGGTTTCAAAATCAAAACTGATTTGATGTTTGTGATCATTTCGATTTTTGTTTATATACGATTTGGAATTACTGAGGGGAATTATTCTTGAAGACGAGTTATACGTTATTTTCACTGTACATAGTGCAGTGCACAACAGGAAGAACCAATTCAGGTGGATCCCCTGAGAAATCGTATGTATTTTGTTTAACGTTTGAAGAAAATGATTAAAAAACATATCATTGTTGTGTGTTCTTTGGGGTCATTCAGTGATATTCGCTCGTTGAATATGAAATTATTTGTTGATAAATGTTGTACCTTTCAGTGCAAGTTTAATTAATTAAAAAAAAAACGCCTGAAGGTATGCTATTTTATTATATGCGTGACCGTCAAATAAGTAACGTTTTCTTTTCTTAGAGACGTTGATAGTCCAAAATTTATAGGGTTTTTTAGTGAGGCCGTCGATGATGTACTCTTTTTTCCCCTAAATCCAATTGGTTAATTTTTTTCCCCTAATATTTGAGTCTTATTCGGCTATTTTAACCGATGCGGAGCACAGGTCGTTTCATTGAATTCGATTCTCTACAAATTTTTCCTTCAAATATTCAATAAACTTACGATTTTTTTTTGCTGAAAATCAAAAATGTCAACCCAGTAAACATTACAGATAATTCTTTAGTGTATGAATAGAAATGGCAATCAAAATAATTGGTATTAATTGTTGTTTACATTGTAACAATCTGGCATTGCGCTCATTTCCTACAAGGCGTGCGATAAAAATGTTTGGTCACAACTGATTTCATCTCAAATTTTCTGAACTTCGTTAGTTCAAACTAGTAATGAAGTGACCGTTCATGCTTCTAAATCAGTCTATGATTTTTCTGGCTCATTAAAACGAAAACATCACTATTAACTTCATAATGTGGTACTTCATGGAGTCATTAATATTGATTTGTTGGTGAAAGGGTCTGTTTTGTGATGAGAAAATCGAAATGAAATAAATTGTTCATAAACAGATCTTTTTTCGGCATAGAGTTTATGGGCTAGATTCAGGCGCTTTTCGATTTTTTGGCGTGTAGCTTTCTAATTGAAATTTACTTCGAAGTTTTATTTGTTTCTATCCCATTTGCTCAAATCGCTGCCTTTGCAGAGTATTACAGACTCTTTCAGCACCCATTTCACCAAAAAATGATTATTAATTACACCATAAAGTACCAGATGAAGTTAAATATGCTGCTTTCGTTTTAATCAGCCATAGAATGAGTTAGAAGCATGAACATTGAACAGTCTTATCATTACTGGTTTGAACTAACGAAGTTCAGAAAATTTGAGATGAAACCAGTTGTGACCAAACAAAATCTTTATTATTGTGACCTTACCACTGATACTGATCAATTGACACGAAAAATATATGCTTACTTGTTTTGAATACTAATCGTGTATAAAACTTGAAGATTATTATAGCAAATATATAAAAAAAATCACCTCAATATGGGAATCACATATTTGCTGTTTCTATTTAC